ATTAGCTGTGGTTATTAATGTCTTCTTGATAATCTTTCTCCATTTCTCACTTTATTTAAAGCACATCCACTTTACCAGGAGAAAACCAGCAGCGTTTGTGACTAACGACAAAAGGGGAGAGATGAGAGACGGCGCCCCAGCCTGACAGGCAATGCAGGGCTGGAGGGAGGACAGGGGGCGATGCGGGCAGCGCTGACCCTCTTGGCCCTGGGATCTCCGTCCCCAGAGCCTTCCAGGTGCCCATCAGCCCCTCCAGTGGTACCTGCGGAGCTCCTGCTGCAGGTGACCGCCATCAAGGGGAAGGACAGCTGGGCAGTGGCTGTGATTGACCGGCAGGACCTGGTTCGTGATTTGGTCACAAGTGGGCAGGACTCAGGTGGGGCGGGGGCTCCGTTGGAGGAGGAGGCTGGACAGGGGTTGTGAGGTACAGCCCAGGGCATGGGGCTGAGCAGCACAGGGGCCTGGAAGCGGGTCCCAGCAGAGCTTGGACAAAGGTGTGGGGCCAGGTCTGAGAGATGCTGAGGAGCACAGGGGGTCAGAGGGGCTTAGGGAAGCTGCCCGGGGCTGATGGTGACAAGGGTCTCCCTCAAGGCTTACCTGGGGACCACAACCCTGTGACCTTCAACGCAGCTGCAAGGCCACAGGGATCCTTTCTCAGAGAAGGTGAAAGGCCCAGACCACTCCGGAGCTCTAAGCGTTTCAGTGTTTTCCTTAATTTGCTCCAGGTGCCTCAGGGACCAGCCGTTGTGTTGGGAGGAGCACCTTCTTCATCTCAGCAACCACGTGAGGCCAGAGCTAGAAGGTCCTTCTCCAATCCTCCCAGTGGTTCTCACCTGGGTGCCCTGGGCATGGGGTGGAGGGTGGGGACAATGCTTCAGTCTGTGGCATGTCCCGCCCCCCCTTACATGACAGTGGTCTCCCCAACACCCCAGGCACTGGGTCAGCCCAAAGTGCCTCCATGCATTTCCCAAAGCCCTGGAGAGACAGTGCCGGCCAGGACGGGGGTGAAAACCTGGCCAGGTTCAGCAGGTAGAAGCTTCCAGGAACACTTTTCCTGACCCTGAGTCCATGCCAACTGTACCTATGAGTTGGGGGGCATTGGTGACACTTCCTGCACCTCCAGTTCCCAGACAGACGTGGGGACAGTGCTCCTTCCAGGGCGGGGCTTCCGTGAAGTTAAGTGAGATGGATGCAGGTGGAGCAGGCAGCCCAGCACCTGCTGTCACGGTGAGTGGAATCAGCACGGAAAGTCAAACACGGAGACACGGGGGGCCCTGCACCTCGGACTCTCCCAAGGACATGACTGATACAATCCAGGCCTTCCCGCTTCTCTCAAATATGAGTGCCTGCCACGTCCTCCCCACAGCCCTGGGAGCTCGATTCTTCCCACGTGGACCAGGGAGTTCTGGGTTCAGGGCCGAGCTGTTTCTGGAGCTTTCACAAGTGGGTGGGGGGAGGGAGGTCGCTGCTGCCTCCTGCTCCGGGCTTGGTCCAGGACCCCAGGGGCAGCCCTGAGCCGGACCGCCCGTGCTTCTGTGGCTGTGCGCCTTCACGTGTGGAGCCACGGAATGGAGAAGGGGTCTCCGAGCCTTCAGCAGGCTTCTTCAACACAGCTTTCAGCTAGAAACCACCCGGCACCACAGTTAGTGGACATTTTTGTGGATGTCACTCTTGATTTTAAGACAAGCCACAAACTGGGACAAAATATTTTTAAAACACATATCTGGTAAAGAACTGGTATTTGAATATACAAAGAACTCGAAACTCAACAAGAAAACAAACCACCCAATTAAAAAAATGGGCCAAAGATCTGGACAGACACCTCACCGGAGAAGATACACAGACAGCAAATAAGTACCTGGAAAGAAACTGCCCATGATATGCCACCAGGGCTTTGCAAATTGAAACAACAATGAGGTACCACTACACACCTATTAGAACGGCTAAAAGCCCGAATGCTGACACCATGAAATGCTGGCAAGGACGTGGAGCATCAGGAAAGTCACGGCTGGTGGGAACGCAAAACGGCGCAGCCACTTCGGGAGGCAGTTTGGTGGTTTCTTATGAAATTAAACATATCTTAACATAAGATCCAACTATTGAGTTCCTTGGTATTTTCCCAAGAGTTGAAAATTTATGTCCACACAGAAACCCACACAAGAATGATCATAGTAGCTTTATTTCAAACAGCCCCAAACTGCAAAGAACCCAAACATCCTTCAATAGGTGAATGGTTAAATGCACTGTGGTCCCTCCAGACCATGGAATACTACTCAGCAACAAAAAAGGACGAACTCTCCCTACACACAAATCTCAGAAGGTCACAGAATGAATGATTCCATTTACACAACATTCTCCAAATGAGAAAGTTAGAGATGGAAAAGAGAGGGGGGTCAGGGGCTGGCGGGAGGATGGAGTGGCCCAGGGAGGCTGCAGTTGCTCCTGGAGGTCAGGTGGCCAGGGAAGGGTCCTCTGAGGAAGAGGGGAGGAAGCAGTGTGAACCTCTGGGGGGCCCCTGTGGAGGTCACCTGAAGGCCTGGGGTTTGGAGGAAAGCAAGGCGCCCAGCACAGCTGGGAGGCTCCTGGTGGGAGGCAGGGCCAGCGACTTCCTTTCTTGTTCTAAATATTCCCGTTGTTCTTCAGTGTTTACTCTTTTCCTTGAAGACCCCCAAAGTGTAAGTCTGAGGTCTCCTACAGCCTGGGTCTGACTTGGAGTGTGAGTGAGGACGGCGCGGAGGTGGCGGCTGGCTTGGGGAGGCCACTGGAAGCACACTGACTCTGGGGCGGGGGGAGCCCCACAGGGCCCGGCAGAGGAGGAACTCTGTGGACCATTTTCGGGAACTGTCTGGCTTCTGAGGGGACTAGGGACTGGAGGGACCAGGGCAGAAGCAGAACGACCAGGCAGGAGGCTGTCCCTGAGGTCCAGGCCAACGGGGCTGTGTCCGGGACCAGCCGGTAGAAGTGGTCGGTGATCACAATGGCTGGAGGGAGAGACAGCCGGCGGGACTTGTGGACGGTTTGGAGGCAGCAGCAAGTGACAAATCAGAGATGACCCCAGGGCTCTGGGCTTGGCGTTTCCCTCTGCTGAGATGGGGACAGCTGTGGGAGAAGCGGGCGGCCGGGTGGGGTGAGGGTGGAGAGCAGGGAGCTGACATGGACGGGTGGGGCCCGTAGCCCTCAGGTTTGTGTGTCCAGAGGGGGCAGGTGGGACTGGAGCCTGGGGCCCTTCAGGCTGATGGGGGCAGATGAGGAGGAGGAGGCGCAGGGCAGACAGGAGACCCAAGAGTGGGATGGAGCAACTCCCTGGGTGCAGAAAGGGGCCCAGGCTCCAGGCTCACTGTGGACGGACCCTGAGAACATGGTGCGACAGGAAAGAAGCCAGTCCCTAAAGGACAAGTACTGGATGACCCCACTTACCCGAGGGACCCAGAGCAGTCAGATGCACAGAAACAGGAAGCAGAACAGCGAGGGTGAGGCTCCGCCTGAGGGAGCGAGTGCTCAGTGGGAGGAACTTCAGTTTGGGAAGATGAGAAAGTTCTGGAGACATGGAGGAGACGGTTGCACAACAGTGAAGGTACTTAATGCCCCTGAACCGTCCACTTAGACAGGACCTATGGTGCCCGTTATGTATACTTGGCCACAATAACGGAGAAGTTACTCAGAAGGAAGGAGCCACGGCTGCGTCCCAGGAGGGCCTGGAGCCAGACCCTGCACAGTTCTTCACTCCCTCATGCTCCTGAGCACACAGCAGGCACTCAATAAATGCTTGCTGCGATGTAGTGAAGGCAGATGGTTCCAGGGAGAGTGCACGGGTGCAAATCCGGCAGTGAGCACTGAGAATGGCAACAGGACGCACATCCAGACAAAAACCACCCTGGGACCCAGAGGGCACTGTGTTCTCGGGGCTGCGCTCAGCGGTCCCAGGCAAGCCCCAGCGTCAGGAGACTGAAGGGCCTGCGAGGCGGCACCCGCGCCCCTGAAGCCTCATGGCCACGAGGTGGAGCGTGGACCAGGGAAGAACCTGGCCCAGGGCCTGTTGGGCTTTCAGGGCTCATGGCGGGGCCTCTCCCAGCCTGACCGGGTTGTGTTCATTTCTCCAGGGAGAAAACCCTTTTCCCGAATTGTTCTTATGTAAAAACGGCTGCTCAGGATTGACACAGATAAACATCCAACAGCTGCAAAGGACCCAGCAATTATGGATCTTGACCAACCGCAGCAGAGCAGTGATGGTGTCACATCTGACTTCCCTCTGTCTTCGCATGTGACAGGGGAAAGCAGGGGCAAGAAGATGCAGCCTTTAGACCATGGGAGGGCCTCTCGGAGGGACATGGAAATCGTTTGGATGTAAGAGACAGGTTTTCACCACAATTAGCCACTTCCTATCATCATCTAGAAATATTTCGTTCTCAGTAAGAGAACTGGCGGCTCCTGAGTGAACCGAGAGTTGCCTGAGGTGACGGGTGAAGGTGGTTGCTGAGCTCCAAGTTGGCGGGGGGCGGCAGACAGCAGGCTGTGCCCTGGGCTGGACGAGGGCCTGGCACTAGCCAAGAGGGTCCTGAAACAGCATCACCTTCATCTGCCACCTGCTGCCCAAGGGACCTTTCATCTTTGTCCAGACTCCAGAAAAGGCAGAGATTTGGCCTAAAGCTGGAGCTGGGTGACTGTGGCGCTGCACCCTCCTTCTGGCTCTGGAGGAGGCTGCATCTCCGGTTCCTGTTTCTCAGGAGGCGCTGAGACCACCTGCCTCCTGGGAGCTGAAGGACCTTCAGAGCACCCACTGGGCAGCTGAAGGTGGGCCTGCCACGTGCCAGGAACTTGTGTGCCTGAGGTCTGGCGTCAGGTCTAATTGTGTGTGTGTGTGTGTGGCAGGGGTGTGGTGCTGGGCTGGCCCAAATGGGGGGTGTGTGTGTAAGCGCTAGGCCTCAACAACTTCCCTCAACAGAATGTTACTGAAAGTTCAGTCTCTGAACCTGATGCCAATCTAAATAATAAGCAGAGTGTTGAGTGGAAAGGAAAGGCTTTATTGTTTTAGCCAGGTGGAGGGAACAGAGCAATGGCTAGTGCCTTAAGAACTGCTAGCTCCCTCGTTCAGAAACGACTAAAGGGTTTTAAGGTTTTGCTGTTTGCAAGGGGGGAAGAGAAGGGAATTTTGCAGGTGGGTGTCCTTGACTGTTCATCTCCGTGGTGGAGGGTAGAGTCTGGTGTCAGGAAGCCGAGGAGTTGGGGCCTGGGCTGCTTTAGTTTCCTGATATTCTCTGGACATTAGGCTCCCTGTAATAGACCTCAAGGACCTGTGATTAGTCACAAGTTTACTGGGAGCCCAGCGGGAGGCCATCTGAGCTTTAAACAACTTCTAACTTCTTTGTGATTGTAAAGCTCAGGGAGTCAGAGACTACAGAAACAAATATTTACATATTTGATGAGTGTAAGTAAAGCAGCAGAGAACAGGGAATGTGTGCTTTGGGTTTTAGCCCCATAGACGCTGGTTTCAATGGAAGGGAACCCATGTTAGGGCTGGTTTTAATTAAGAGGCCGCAACAAGGACAGAAAAAGGAAGTGAGGTTACCCAGCCTGTTATAAAGGTCCCCATCAGGGCAGCGCCCCCAGGAGCGACACTGGGCGGCCGCCCACGCCCTTGCGCAGTCCTCCTGGCAGCCCGTCATCGGTTCCGGATCTCCCGGTGATTCTTGGGCACAGCCACGTATCTCAGCTTCCTCATGATGGCGGGCCAGCCCAGCAGCTTCTCGTCCCACATGTACTCCGGGGACAGCACCTTGGTGGGCTTGTGGTCCAGGAGGTACCTGTTTAGGTGGCTCTCGTCGTGCCACACGGCCTCGATGCCATTGGCCCTGTCGGCCACTATCGCCTGGTGACAGGCCTTGGTAAGCCGGTAAACCTCAGACACTGACCCCCCCAAAAAAGGCCCCCATGTAGTAAAAGTCGCCCTGGTCCCGGGGGATGTGCGCCTGTGACTGCGGCCGGCGCTCGTATGGAAAAGCCTCGCGACTGGCCCGATAGTAACCGGGATGGAGGGTGCCGAAGAGCTGGGACAGGATCTCTACGCCCACGTGGTCACGGAACTTCATGTCCACGTCCGCGCACACGAGGAAGTCCACCTCGCGGAGGAAGCGCTGCTCGCAGAAGCTGCTGATCATCTCCATGCGGCGCATGGACACGTCCTGCCAGCGCGCGGAGGCCGGCACCTCGAGGACCACCATCTGCCGGCCCTCCCCGAGGGGCACGTGCGGCACATCGGCTGGCCGGTCAGTGAAGACGTAGTAGTTGACCCTGTGACCCACCATAAAGTGCTGCTCTGCCGTCTCCAGGAACAGCTTCAGGAAGACCACGTATCTGCGGGGAGGCCGAGAGCAGGGCTGGGACAGGGTCACTGCCGAGCCTGGCGGAGGGACCCCAAAGCTTGGCGGCCAGCAGTGGGTGTGCCCTCTTCCGGAAGGCAGGTCCTCGGCTGCTTCAAGCAGCAGCCACTCTCCTGGCCCACCCTAAGCGATTCCATGGGCTGTGCCCCCCTAATCCTCTGCTCCCTGAGATGGGGGTCCATCAGCACCCCATCTTACATAGGAGAGACTGACAACCCCCTGCAGGTCCCCTCCCCCTCGACAAACTCCAATGCTGGGCACTGAGGTTTCTGGTTGGTGATCCCACAGACCCTTGTCCTGGGACTGGAGCAAGAATTCAGAGGCAACCCTGTGCCCCTCTTAGGCCCTGCACACCAGCTCTCTCAGGTCTGAATAGGAAAGGGGGTCTCAGGTGAGCTCTGTGAGGGAAGGCTGCTCCAATCCCCCTCCCTTGCCCAGGTGCTGTCGTCAGCTCCACTTTCCAGAGGCTCAGAGAAGTCGAGTCACTTGCCTGCAGTTCATTCGCCATGAAGTCACCCAACCCTGGTGTCCCAGGGCCTCACTGGTCAGCTCCTTCTCAGGGGTCTGGGACCGAGTGCTGAGCCTGACCTGGCTGTCCCCCTCGCTGCCCCCCATCCTGTATCTGAGCACCGGGAGGAGCCCAGATCTGTGGGTACCACCTTTCTACTTGTCCAAGGAGGCCACAGGCTTCCTCCCTCCTACCTGCTTCTCTGGTTGGTGGAGGGACCACCTGCAGCCTTGACAGAGGGTCCGTGGCTGCTCCCAGGCTCATCAGGGACATGTGCTGGGGTCACTGACATGTCTGCCACGGTGGCGGGGGGTTGGGGGGGGAGGCACAGGACACAGACAGTAGGCTGGAGCTATGATCCTGGGTGACATGCAGCCTCCTGAGAAGGAGCGGGTGGCATCCATTCGCTGAGCCCAGGAGGACACAGTAAGACCACTGAGTGAACAGCCTTTCACATCTACCCCTCGGGAGGACAAGGCAGGCGCCGCCTCACTCTGCCCTGGACACAAGGACAGACCTTGATGTCCCTGGTCACTCCCTCCTCCCGGTCTCTATCCTCTGTCATCTCGCTTTCTTACTTTTTAATGGCAAACACCGTGATTCCGATGGTGGCATTCTGGAGTCGGAACTGCTCGTTCAGGATGTCAGTGTTGAAGGTCGCCTCCCAGATGATGGGGGCCAGCCAAGGGGTAAGGACAAGGACATCTTTCCTACTGCACGGTGAGAAAGCCACGGGGCAACGTGTGAGCTGGCGGGAGGGTGAACACACTCGTCCCTGGTGCTTGTCACCCCCACCTGGGACCCCCCTACTCAGCCTCCGTCCCCTCGCTGCCCCCAGGCATTCGCAGGAAACCAACCAGATGCAAAGCCAGACTCAAATCTGTGCACATGCCTCCAGCTGGCTCAGAACGCTGGACCCGCTGGCTCAGAGTGGGCACCGGGATTTGCCAGCAGAGGGGTGGGCCCCTCCCCAAGCTCCCCTCACATCTTTGCATACTTTTTGGTGCACAGAGGATAGAAAACAAGAAATGCAAGCCACAGAAGGAGAAGAGGACAGAGAATATCTGTGGGCTCCACTTCAGCTCTCGGAAAGACCCCAGAGGAAAAGAGTACAAAGCAAGCTCCCGCAGTGACTTCAAGGAAACCGCCCTCCAGTGCCTTTAGGACAGTGCCCAGGGCTGCAGCAAATTTCAGTACATTTACTCACGAGGGTGTGAGCACCTTGGGCTGCGGATACACCATCCTGAAAAAGAACACCCGTGAAGTGAGTGCACAGGAAATTTGATGGACGCCCTAGAGGTGGGGCTGGTGGAGCTGTGAAAGCAGAGGAGGGTCTGTCTCCTCCCAGGACCAGGGACCCTGGCAGGCTGCACTCAGTCTCACAGTGTCAGTTTCACCCTTTGTAAAATGGGCAACGGAGCAAAGAGACCTCAGGTGCACTGCCTTCCTCTTGCCTAAGGCAGGAGGAGTCCCAGGGCCTGTGTTGTAATTCACCGTGGGCGTGGGCGGGAGGGAGCCGGAAGTGGCGTCAATCCTGGGTAGTTCCCACAAGGGACTATCCAAAGGAAAGCCGGCCCAAAGGAAAGGCAGTCAGACACGCAGGCAGTCCACCTGGGCCCGCAGCTCCTTTGCCCCTTCACTGGCTGGGTGACAGGGGCAGGTGACCAGGTTCCCAGAGCCCAGGCCTCCTGTGTGCAAAGTGGGGAGAGGAACACCTCCCCGACTTGGTTGTCACAGGACCAGCTCCAGCGTGAGCTTAAAGCACCGTCAGGTGCAGCAACCCTGGGAAATTTGTGAGTGGTGGCCCTGGCCCAACTACAGTATTGTGGAGTCCCCAGGAAGAGGAGCCAGTGGGCACGCGTCATCCACAGTAATGACTGCAATTAGCATTTCCTGGGATGGCGTTTAAAGCAGGGCACTTTTCCCTTTTTAGGGAAAAGGAAGGAAATTCCGCAACATGCTACTCCATGGATGAACCTTGAGGACATGATGCAAGTGAAATAAGCCAGTCACAAGGACAAATGCTCTATGATTCCACTTACATGAGGGATCTAGAGTCATCAAATCCAGAGACAGGAGGTAGAAAGGTGGTTCCAGGGGCTGGGGGGGAGGGGCTGGGGTGAGTGTTTAATGGGGACAGAGCTTCACTTTGGAAAGATGAAGAAATTCTGGAGATGGATGGTGGGGATGGTTGCACAGCAATGTGACGTATTTAAGGCCACTGAACTGTGAGCTTAAAAATGGTTAAGATGGTAAGTTTTAGGTCCTGTGTATTTTACCATAGTTAAAAGTTTTTTTAAAAAAGTAGGGTGGGGGCCAGCCCCAGTGGCCTAGTGGTTAAGTTCGGCACACTCCACTTGAGCGGCCTGGGTTCGGTTCCTGGGTGTAGACCTTTACCACTCATCTGTCAGTGGCTGTGGTGACAGCTCCCATTAAAAAAAGAGGAAGATTGGCAGTGAATGTTAGCTCAGGATGAATCTTCCTCAGCAAAAGAAGAAAGAAAGAAAGAAAAATAAATAGGGCAGGCCTAGTGGCGTAGCGGTTAAGTTCCCAGGCTCTACTTTGGTGGCCCAGGTTTTGCGGGTTCAGATCCCAGGCACGGACCTACACATCGCTTACCAAACCATGCTGTGGCAGGCATCCCACATATAAAAAAAAAAAATAGAGGAAAATGGGCACAGATCTTAGCTCAGGGCCAATCTTCCTCAGCAAAAAAAGAAGGATTGGCGATGGATATTAGCTCAGGGCTAATCTTCCTCAGGAAACAAAAAAAGAAAGAAAAAGAAAAAAGAAAAAGTGGGGTTGGGGCTGGCCCTGTGGCCGAGTGGTTAAGTTCCTGTGCTCTGCTGCAGGCGGCCCAGTGTTTCGTTGGTTCAAGTCCTGGGCGTGGACATGGCACTGCTCATCAAACCACGCTGAGGCAGCGTCCCACATGCCACAACTAGAAGGACCCACAACGAAGAATATACAACTATGTACTGGGGGGCTTTGGGGAGAAAAAGGAAAAAAATAAAATCTTTAAAAAAAAAAAAAGTGGGGTGGCCACCTTGTCCCAGACTGCCTGAGACTTTTCTGGTGTCGGCACTGACAAAGGCCCACATCCCAGAGCCCCTCCGCCCAAACCTCTGAGCCCTGGCAAACCAGGCCAGTTGGTCCCCTCTTTAATAGCCAGATGCCATGGAGCTGGTCAAAACTGAAGCACCAGCTATTCCTGGATCTTTCCGTGGCTGCAGGAGGAGGGCAGTGTCAGACCCGGCCTCAGGGAAGGGAGCAGCATGCTCCATGGGAGGCGGAGGCGCAGGAGGAAGACAGCCTGTCCCAGTGGCCACGCCCCTCTCCCCATGCCTCTCTCCTGGAGCACACACTCCGCCTGGAGGGCAGGTATCAGATGGGGAGGCACCACATAAAGACATTGTACCTCGACAGTTTCACAACTTGCAGGCCGATTGATTCCCTTCCAGCCTCACTGCAGAATGAGAACACAGAAAGGGGGTTTTAGCAGGAAAAATCAGGGTTCACGGATCACAGCCGGGGGTCCCAGTAGATGGGGACAGTAGCAGCCTGGAGTGTGGAGACAGGGTCCATCTGAAACATGCCAGAACAGCCGTCGCTGTGGGCAGTGGGTCTGATGCTGGCCTGTGTCCCGGCATGTCCCTAGACACTGTGACACCAGACACTGCAGTCGGAGGTTCACCCTCTGCCAATCTGCAGACGCCACGTCCACCAGACGCTGCTGAGCTGTGACTGCACAGCTGGTGGTTTCAAGACGCACAAGTCCGAATTCTGAGGCTCCCGCCCATCACGGTGGGTCTGTGCTCTGCCACTTGCACACAGACTGGCCTTGGTCTCAAGAGTCTGACAAATAAAATACGGCTGTGAGGTGATGCTGTGGGACTCCTGAAGTCAGGTCGGAGAAGGCATACAACTCTGTCTCTTTTGGGGACACTGATCTTGGACCCTCCCAAGCAAGCTGAGAGGAAGCCCAGGCGCTCTGGGGCTCAGCCGAGAGCCAGCATCGACAGCCGGAGCTTGGAGGAGGCCTTTGAGCCGACCCCAGCCCAGCCACTGTCTGCCCACATTGGCCTGAGAAGGGAACCATCCAGCTGAGCCCAGGCAACCCCAGGACCTGGAGAGACACAGGGATCGATGGCTGACTGTTTCAAATCATGAATTGGGGTTTGTTATGCAGCAGACGACTGATCCGAGGAGGAACTGGCCAGATACAGAGGGTGGGAGGAGAGAGGAGGGAAGAGGAGGAGGCCCAGACCCACCGATGGATCAGCCCAGGCAGGGGACCCATGAAGCAGCCACCACTGCCCCCTAGCACCTGGCCAGTCCTTGAGCTGGCTCTCACAGGTCACAGCGGTGTGACCCTGACTTTCACCCTCACTCACCCTGCCCCTGCTCGCCTGCTCCACAGCACCGGGCTTCTTGGGCTCAGGAAACCAGCGCTGTGGGAAGAGTCACCAAAGGCCACTGTTGAGGAGGGCAGACCCGGGATGGCCTGTCCATCATGCCCTCGCAAAGCAGGAGCTGGTGCCCATGTGGTGAGTCCAGAGCTCGCTGGTGTGGCTGCTGGGCCTCGGGCAGGGCCGGAGCAACTCCCCAAAGCTTGGGCGACTTGTTACACGTCACGGAGGTGGCAGGAGGGGTGGTCACTGTGGACAGTGCTGCTGTCTGAGCTCCTCTGGCAGCTGCAGCAGGTCTCTGTGCACGGTCAGCGCAGCCTCGAGACTGTGGCAGGGAGCGATTCCTGGCAGCGTCCAGGAACACTGCCCCATACCTTCTCCATCTGGACGTGGCTAACAGCACAGCTCCCAATGGCCTTCCCCACTGCCCAGCCACACAGCTCACGGGGGCTTCGTGGCCTCGCCCCCAACTCCCCATGGGGGGAAGACAGCTCACTCACAAGGTGAGGCTTCAAGAAGAGGGTGTGTGACTGGCCGGAACTGGGAGATCGCTGTCATCAGTCCTGTCATCACTGCTGCGATACTGGGGCGGGGACCCCACAAGGATGTGATTCGCGCTATTCTGCTTCTCCCCAAGCCTGGCAGGCCTCAACGGCCATGAACATTTCTTACCCAAAGAAGACCAAGATGAGCATTATCAGGAGAAAGGTCACAGGACGAAGCAGGTAGCATTTTGGTTTTCCTGAAAAAACAGCCGTGGAAACCAGGTCACTCCTCTCTCCTCCTCCCGTCCGCCCACTGCTCTCTTCTCATGACTCAGACGTCAGGTCCTGAGACAGCCCCCTCCCCTTGCAGGTGGAGATCAGTTTCTCCTCTCCCGTAGAGAGAGGCGCAGGGTGTTGGTTCCTCCCGGCACATGGCCCAGGTGTTCCCTCCAAAACCCGGAGTTACTCTCCCCTCCTGACAGCCCCTTTCCACCGAGTGCCTTTCCCTGGAGCCTGAAATGACCGCACTGAAATGACCACCGGAGGACCCCTGCTGACCCTCCCATCAAGGGGCTGGGACCACAATAACGAACTCCCCTCCAGGAGCAAGTGACCCTCTGCCCCCAAGCATTTCACAGACCCCTGTAGCTCCTGCACTTCGAAACAATCGCTGGTCTTTGTTTGTGGTGATTTCTACATTTATGAAAGTGGTATATTCACAAGGTCAAGATTTCAAAGGCTTCCATGTGGAAAGAGCACCTCCGCGCCCCTCCCCCCATCAGCCCTGCAGGACTGCTCTCCCCCTGCTTCTCTGATCCTACCCTGCTCCCCTGCTCCTGCCCCCGCATTTCTAAACCCCATGCCCACGGAACAGTGTATCTCTAATATTTTCCTGAAACCGAGCAACACGGGTGGTAAAATTTGAGCCTTTACATGTTTAAATGAATTTTTTCATTTTTGCAGTTTCTAGATAGTTTGTCGGGCAGTCTAGGTTGGAAATAATTTCCCTTCCATTTTGAAAAAATGGTTCCATGTCTCTTTTTTTAAACTTTTAAAGTCAATCTCATTTGAGGTTTAATTTATATCCAATAAAATGTACCCACTGTAGGGACACAGTTTGACGAGTTTTCAACAGTGTATACACACGGGGAACCACCACCCCAGCCAAGATACACATTTCCATAACCTAATAAGTCCCCGCCCCGGCCTGCCCTTTTCCAGTCAAACACCACACACCCTTGCCCCGGGCAACCCCTGATCTTCTTCCCTCACTACAGATTTCCCTTCTCAGGCATTTCTAAACGGAATCCTACAGTCCATACTCTGCTGTCTGGCTTCATTCACACAGCATCATGTTTTGTTATGTTTTGTCTGTTTTGTTTTTTTGGTGAAGAGGATTGGCCCTGAACTAACATCTGTACTAATCTTCCTCTATTTTGTATGAGGATGCCACCATAGTGTGGCTCGTGAGTGGTGTGTAGGTCTGCGCCTGGGATCCGAACCTGTGAACCCCAGGCCGCCGAAGTGGAGCACGCAGACTTAACCACTACACCGCCGGGCTGGCTCCAGCATCATGTTTTTAAGATTCATTCATGCTCTTGCATGTATCATTTTTTCTTACTGCAAGGAGTCCTCCACTGTTGACATGCCCCAAATTGCTTATCGTTTCACCTGCTCACAGACATTTCGGGGTTTTCCCCTTATTGGGGCCTAGCACAAAGCTTCTATAAACATTTATGTCCAGGTATGTTTTTTGACACAAGCTTTCCATTCTCTCGAGCAAATACCTAGGAGTGGAAGGGACGGGTCACATGTTAAGTGTATGTTTAACTTCGTAAGAAACTGCTCAATCGTTTTGCAAAGTGGCTGGAGGATTTCCCGACCCCGTGGGTAATGCGTGAGAACTCCAGTGTCTCCACATTCTTGTCAGCCTTGGATAGTCATCTTTTCAGCTTTACATTCTGGAGGGCGTGGGGTGGCATCTCACTGTGGCTTCTGGCGAGTCACAATGGCATACTAGAAAGTTCTACTTAATACAAAGGAAGACAGTAAAGGAAGAACAGAAGAGCAAAAAGATAGGAAACACACGGAAGACGGATAGCTAAACGGCAGCTGGAAATCCAACCGCAGCAATAACACTGAAGGTGAAAAGATTAGACACTAACTGAAGGCAGAGGAAGCGAGACTCAATTTAAGAAAAGAACTTCCATATAAGCTGTCTACACGAGAGATATTTAGGGAAAAAAGCACAAATAGACCCAAAGTGAAAGGACAGTAAAAGATGTATCATGCAAACGGTAAGCACAAAGACAGCTGGAGCAGCAATAGTAACATCAGACGAAACAGACTGAGGCCAAAAATGCTACTGGAGACAAAGAGAACATTTTACAATGACAAAAGTTCATCCCGTGAGCAAGCTATAACAAACGTAAATGTACGCACACCTAGCAACCCAGCCCCAAAAGGCAGGAAGCAAAAACTGACAGAACTGAAAACAGAAATAGTTAATTCCACAATAATGGTCGGATGCTTCAAAATCCTACTCCACTCTCAATAACGGGTGGGATAGTTCGATAGGAAATTGGCAGACATGGAACACTTATCAACATTATAAGCTAACCTTGCTGACACCTCTCCAATACTCCACCCAAAACAGCAAAATACACATTCTCCTCAAGGGGCCATAAATATTCTGCAAGATGCACCACATATGAGGTCACAAAACAAATGTAAAAGAATTTAAAAGAACTGACATAACACAAAGTATGTTCTCTAACTGCAATGGAATGAAAGTAGAAATCAATAACAAAGGAGCTTTGGCAAATCCACAAATATGTGAAAATTAAACAGCATGCTTCCAAACCACCAATGTGTCAAAGAAGAAAATAAAAAAATATTCTGAGCTGAATAAAAAATAAAGCATAACATCCCAAAATTTACAGGATGAAGCTGAAGCCATTTTTAGAGGGAAATTTATAATTATAAATACCTAGTTGAGAAAAGAAAAATCTCAGATCAATACTTAAGTTTCCATGTTAAGAAAGTAGAAAAAGAAAAAGGAGCAGATAAAACCCAAAGTGAGAAGGGAGAAAATAATAAAGATTAGAGTGAAAATAAATTAATAGAAAACATAAAGAAAAAAAACAATGAAACCAAACAATAAAATTGATAAAGCTGTAGCTAGGCTGACCAAATTTAAAGAGAGAGAGAGAGAGCACAAATGACGAAAATCAGGAGTGACAGAGGATACACCAACACCAATCTTACAGAAATTAAAAGGATTTTAAGGGAACGCTATTAACAACTGTTTGCCAACAATTTAGATAACTTAGATGAAATGCACAAACTCTTGAAAGATACAAGCTACAAAACTCTTAGAAGAAAACAGAACTAAATCTTTGTGACATTGGGTTAAGCAAAGAATTCCCACATATGACCCAAAACCCACAAACAATAAAATGTTAAATTGGAGTTAATCCAAATCAAAACTTTTCAAAAAAACCGTTAAGAAACTGAAAAGACAAGTCATAGATAGGGAGAAAATATTTGCAAATCATATATCTGATAAGGAACAGGTACCCAGAATATAAAGGAATCCTAAAACTCAACAAAGAAGACGTGTACTCCAATTTTAAAAAGGCAAAAAATCTTAACAGACATTTCACCAAAGATACTCAAACAGCTAATAAGCACATGGAAAGATGCTCAACATCATTAGCCATCAGGGAAAAGTAAATCCAAACCACAAGGAGGGGCCAGCACAGTGGTGTAGCAGTTAAGTTCGAGCACCTCGCTTCAGAGGCCTGGGGTTCGCAGGCGCAGATCCCAGGTGTGGACCTACGCACTGCTCATCAAGCCACGCTGTGGCAGCATCCCACAAATAAAGTGGAGGAAGATGGGCACGGATGTTAGCTCACGGCCAGTCTACCTCAGCAAAAAGAGGAGGATTGGCAGCAGGTGTTAGCTCAGGGCTAATCTTCCTCCAAAAAAAAAAAAAAATAGCAAGGAGATAACACTTCACATCCACAAGAGTGGCTGTAATAAGTGTTGGTGAGGATGTGGAGAAATTGGAACCTCATACACCGCTGATGGGGATGTCAAATGGTAAAGCCACTTTGCAAAAGAGTTTGGTAGCTTCTTAAAACATTGAACACATATTTACCATCTGACCCAATGATTCCACTGCTAGGTATCTACCCAAGAGAAAGGAAAACATACGTGCACACAAAGACTTGTACACAAATGTTCAAAGCAGTGTTCAAAAAACTAAGAAGTGGAAACAACCCAAATGCCCATCCACAGATGAATTCCGTTGCAGCCCCACAACAATTATTCAGCCACCAACAGGAATGAGATGCTGCTACACGCTACGACACGGAGGCACCCTGAGGACGGGATGGTAAGAGAAAGGCTGGAGATGCGAACAGGGAGGGATCGCAATGGGCATCAGGGAATTCTGGGGGGGATGGGAAAGTTCTAAAATTGATGACACAACTCTGCAAACTGACTAAAAATAGCTGAGTAGTACCCTTCAAACAGATAAGTGTTGTGGTGCGTAAACGAGAACTCAACAAAGCTGTTTAGGAAAGCAAAGCCATCAGGAAGAGATCACTGGCCCCAGGCTGAAGGGAGAGGACGGCTCAGCAGAGACTGCCCCGAAGTCCTGCTTGTAATTCTGGGTGAGATTTTGCTCCCTTCTTCCCCGGTCATTGGGGAGACCTGCCACAATGAGAGGAGAGCCAGAACTCCTGCACGGGGCTGTCAGGCCTCCAGGGAGCCAGGTCTTGGCGTGGAGTCAGGCATCTCCTAGGAGCCACCCACACAGCAGCCACCTTGCCACCTGCCAACTTCATCCTTTACCCTCCACGTCCCCTTCTCACCACTCTCAGACCGGCTTCCCTTCCTCAGCCCCCTGCCCTCCTTCTCTCCCCTAACACGCCCGCTGCCCTACCGATTTCTGGGGCAGAGCCATCCCCGGTGCCAGGTCCTCTCCCTGGCACGCTCATGCCCCAGATCTTCACACACTGGGCGCCTCCCCATTCATGCCTCTAAGCCCACCTCCTCAGCTGGCTCACTGTGGCAGCTGTCCTTCCCAGCACCAGGCCTCCTGTTACTTAATCAATGAATGAACACATGAATGAACGTGACCCTGGGAATGGGGATTCCTTTGCCAGGTTTCTCAAAAGACCTGAACATCTTCATCTTGGAGTTTGCATCCGGTCAGTCATGGGCCAGAATTTGCTGGAACCCCAGGGGTATGGAGACCAATGGCAGAGTCCCTGGTCCTCCGAGGGTCCAGAGCAGGTGAAAGATAGTCCAATAACCTGAAGCCCGACCAGGACAGTGTAAGACCCGGGGCATGAGTGACGCTGGGGAGACGGATGTGTTCATTACCTTGATCGGGGCCACTGCACTTCGTGTGTTGTTTATTGTACAAAAAACTGTTAAAATATTTTAAGAGGGGAAAAAAGGAACAACAGCAAAAGGAAGGAAGGACCACAAGGAGGGTCGGGGAGGGATGCAGAGAGCGCCAGCAGCAGGTGAAGAGCGTCTCTGCGGTCAGACCTGGATTCCAGACTCCATTCTGCCCCCGTGGGAGCGGGACAGTGGCCTCAATCTGGCGAAACCAGTTTTCTCTGGCGAAAATGGGACGAACACTCACCTCCCAGGGTGTCCGGAAGGGTCAGGGGCATAGACAGAGTCCTGGCTCACAGTGAACGCTAACCAGCTGTGAGTATTCTGCAGGGCAGGGGCGAGATGTGCCAGCACACCCACCTGGTTTTTTCCTGAAAACTTGCACTCTTCCTGCCCTGCCCTCCTCCCCTAAACCAGGCGAGGCCTCTGTCCATCTCAGGCCCTCCTGAACCCAACATGTGCTCTAGATTAAGGGCTCTGTGCCCTGGGGCCGCGTGGGCCTGGCTTTCGTCCCCCTCCCAGCCCTGCCCACAGATCTGCGGCCCCGCCGGCGCCCGCGCCCCTGCGCCCCGCTCTCCGGACTCCGCACCTCCGCCTGGCCAGCCTGGAGCTCTTCCAGGCACAGCAGGTGCCCAGGGGACCGTGACAAAGAAACAGGGCTGAGCTGGCGCGGCGAGCAGCCCCCAGCCTTCCGCAGGGGCGGAGCGGGCTGCCCCGGCCCTCGCCGGTCCCCAGGCGGCAGCTCCGGGAAGCCCCTGCAGGGAACGGCGGGGGCGTGGACAGCGGGGCGCGGGAGATTCCTGGAGACGGCAGGGCCACCCGACCTACCGAGGACCAGGCTCGGACCTTGCCAGTGGGTCCCGAGTACCTGGGCCCCAGGAGGCTCCAGACCTCCCTTCGCGGCCGCTCCGCAGGCGACTTCGGGCGCCCTCCCGGCCCAGCCCTCGGGCGCCGTGCGCGGTTTGCCCGCCAGGACCCTTCCTCCTGGGGGACCTCGGGGACCGCCACTCACGGGCCTGCGTCCGCAGCAGCTCGGCCATGGCCCCGCGTCCGACAGCGGCAGCCTCAGGTCCCCTCCGCGCTGCCAGGGCGCCCGCTCCTCCGCGACCTTCCGCCCGGGCCTCCGGGGCGGGGTGAGGCCGACCCCGCAGACCCCGAGGCGTCCACGTGCTGCCCGCTCCGCCCGCGGCCAGGACTCCGGGAGGTGGGACCGATCGAAGGAACAGCGGGGCGCAGAGGCTGGCACCGGTCCCCGGGCACCATGGCTCGGGGTCGGGGGGAGGAGAACGGGCGGGGCCTCCTCCATACGCACCAATGAGGCCGCGCGCCCCTCCCAGCCCGCCCCCCGCCCCCCGACCCCCGACCCCCGGGGTGCGTCCCCGACACCCCGCCCCACGCACTAGTCTGGGCAGAGCCACGCGTCCCCGAGCCCCGACGCCCCTTTTCCATACAACTACTGCCGTCCCCCCACAAAGGGTGGCCGCTTTCTGATCTTGATCGTCGACCATCGATCGCAGAGGCGTTCGCCTGTGCTTGGACGTGGCGCACACGGAATCCAACAGTCTGTGCGCTTTTCTGTCTCGTCTCTTGGGCTCGGCATCACGTTTCACAGACTCCGCCGTGTGTCCCACACATCCGCAGTGTGTTCATTCTCCTTGCTGAGCAGTGTTCGGCTGTTGCCTTATCCGCTCCTCTGTTGGGGGACATCTGGATTTTATCCAGTTGGAGGCCGTTATCGCTAATGCTGATAGAAACTTTCTTGCACCAGCCTTTTTGTGGCTACGTTTTCAGCTCTCTTGGGTAAATATGGGCGAGTGGAATGAAAAGTTATAGGGTAGATGTATATTTAACTTTATAAGAAATTGCCAGACATTCTCCAAAGTGTTTGTACCATGTTGTGTACATTCTTTTCAACTACCCATGAAAATTTTTTGAGTGATCCATCTGTAATCCATAGAAGCAACTCAACAAATTCCCCAAAGTTGAAATTGAGCAGCTCACTTTATTCCTACTACAAAACTATATATCTAGGAACAAACAACGTAACAAGAAACAAATCTAACTTCTTGGAAATTTAAAAATTACTATTCTAAATAATTTTGAGTTAAAGAGAAAATAAAAGCAGACTATTTAGAAATGAGTGACAACGTGGACACTGGATATAAATGCCTGAGGGACACAACTTGCCCTCTACTCAGAAAGAAAGTTGAAGGCATGTGCTTTTCCCAGAAACAAGCAGTGTTCCCAATAAATGACCCTGTTAACCAGGCATTCTACTCAAGAATGCTAGGAAAAAATAAACTAAAATAAAGTTAAAGGAATAAATTAATAAGCATGAAAGCAGACACTACCATTTAATAAACATACAAATAGTAGGCCAGATGCTTCTTTTTAAAAGTAAAATAAAATAATCTCTGATACTTGTGTAAGAAGATCAGAAAAAAGGAGAGAGAAAGCACAAATAAACAGCAGTAGAAATACGAAGATGATTTTAGATACAGAGATTTTAAAGTTATTTCAAAATTGCACTGCCATTCTATTTGCCAACAAATTAAAAAATCAATATGAAATAGAAGATTTTCAAAGAAAATATAAATGATCAAAATTGACTCAAGAAGTAGAAACTTGAATAAATTACAACAGAAGGAGCTGCATGTACCATAGAAGGAGATGGAAAAACTCATCAAACATTTCCCTCCATAAATTGTACTCAGTTACACGGGTTTTCTGAGTAAAAACAAAGTTCAAGATTATTCAAATATCCCAGAACATAGAAAATAATGAAGAGCTGTGAATTCAATCTGCTAGACTATCTAGACCACATACCAAATTCTACTGAGAAGATTCAAAAAGGAAACCATCAGGCCAGCCGGTGGCCAAGTGGTTAAATTCACGCGCTCCGCTTCTGCAGCCCAGGGTTTCGCCGGTTCATATCCTGGGCGCGGACATGGCCCCGCTCATCAGGCCATGCTGAGGCGGCATCCCTCATAGCACAACCAGAGGCACTCACAACTAGAATACAGAACTGTATACTGAGGGCCTTTAAGGAGAAGAAGAAGGGGGAGGGGAAAGAAGATTGGCAAAAGATGTTAGCTCAGTGCCAATCTTTAAAAAAAAAAAAGCAGAGTCTGGGATGTATGTACACCTGTGTTCACAGCAGTATCATTCGCAAGAGCCAAAAAGTGGAAGCAACCCAAGTGTCCACTGATGGATGAATGGATAAAGAAAATGCAGCACGTACATACAATGGAATGTTAGCCTTAAAAAAGAAGCAACATCTGACACATGCTACAACACAGATGCACTTAAGGACATTAGGCCGAGTGACATATGCCAGTCACAGAAGGACAAATCCTCTAGGATTCTACTTATCTGAGGTCCCAGGAATCGTCAACCCACAGAGACAGGAAGGGGGATGGTGGTGCCAGGGCCTGGGGAGGGGACGGGGTGAGTGTTCAGTGGGAACGGAGCTTCAGTTTGGGAAGATGAGAAAGTCCTGGAGACCGATGGTGGGGGTAGCTGCACCACAAATGAGAATGTGCTTAATGCCGCTGGACTGTGCACTCGAAAATGGTAATTTTTTTGTTATGTATATTTTACCAGAATAATAATTAAAAAAAAAAAAAGGGCAGACAAATGGGATAGGCCTGGAGGCTCACGTCCTGCTCCTGGTGGTGCTCAGTGGCCTGAGCTAGCAGATGGGAACACAGGCTGAAGGCGGGTCCTGTCCAACAAGGCGGCTTCCTGACCGCTGGGTGCCCTCCTGGTTCACACCTCCACCATGCAGGGCAGCCGGTGTCGGAAGGCAGCCTTCCCCTGACCTGTCGGGTGGGGTGCTGAGAGCTGGGCTATTGTGTGTCCGTTGACTATGCCCCACTCTTTGTCTGCTTGTAAGTTTCTGCCACCCTGCCCGGTATCCACCCTGCCCGGGGGCTCAGATCGTGTGTTCTCACATTTCTCTGTCCCCCTCTCTGGACAGTGCCTGGCACACTGTAGGAGCTCAGTGGACAGCTCTGTATCGAATCCTCTTGGCCCATGTTTTGTAGATCAGGGCAGGTGGCGGGGAGTGGTCTGAGTTCTGGAACTTTCCTGCTGAATTTTTGAGCTCCCCACTTCTCGTCCACTTTTGAAACAGAGCAGGCTGTTTGGGTTGTGGATGTGCAAGGAGCTCAGCATGCAAAATGTGTAGGGCAAGCACACCCTAGACTGCAAAGCCAGCCCAGGAAGGGAGGGAGTGCTGAGGTGGGCTGGACCAGGGGGCAGCAGGCCAGACACAGAGAAAGGCAAGAGAGGCAGGAGGGCAGGGTCAGGGAAGGGACCGTGGACAACAGCAGCAGCAGGAACCACCCGGAGCTGGAGGACCCAGGGAGTGTAGGTGGAGCAGAGGCCATCCCCAGAGAGAGGGGGCTGGAAGGCCAGGCCAGGCCTCGGGGAGTGGTCTGGAGGCAGGGCAGAAAATGGCACCAAAGCGATGTTGGATGGTGAGATGAGAGGGTTCAGGGGTTGTTCCAGGCTGGGTCAGGAAGGAGGTTTCTAGGGCTGCACTTTCGTGGCAGCTCCTAAAGGCTGCTGTGCACAGGGAAAAGCACACCCAGCTGTGCCCCTGGGCTGCTGCTGACAGATGAGGTCAAAAGAACAGAGAACATCTTATTAGCCGCCAATCAAGGCAGCAATTTAAAACAACAATTTTTTCTGTTTGTATCAAAGAGCCAAGGGGCTCATGCATTCCCTATGGCTCCCTGAATTTTTTCCCTGGAAACCTCTGCTTGCTGCCAGGGGAGGGGGAGGGCACAAGGGGCTTTGTAAAGGACAGCACAGGTGGAGTCCTTGCACCGCGGGTTACCACAGCTCCACGGAAGGAACAGTTCTGCCCCAGGTCATGGAGAGTTCACGGCAAGGTTAAGACCAAACCCAGGTCCAGGGTGACCCCTGCCTGGTCTGCATGGGACTAAAGTGCTAAAACCAGGACAAGCCTAAGCAACCTGCGATGAATCGGTCACCCTACCAGGTCCCTGACGTTTGGAGCAGGGCTGTCACGGCCGGGACTCTCAGAGGGTGCGCTTGGGGGCCGGATGGCTAAGGCCGTGGATTCTGGTCTTGTCTCCTTTGGGGTGCTTGGCATCAGAACCAACACATACCCCTGGTGGACCCCACCCAATCCTGACTGTCCTCGGAGCCATGGTCACCACATTTCAGGGGACTAGGAAACCCCGAGTCCAGGGGGCACACTCGGGATGCTGTGCCCTCACAGGAGCGCAGAACTCTGCTCACTGTTTCTCACGCCTGGTGGGCTGTGGGATTTGGCTGGCTCTGGGAGCTGGTAGACCTTTCCACCAGCCACCACCCACGGAAGGGGCTCTCTGCTTCGGTCACGAAGAGCAGACTCTGAGACACAGGGATTTAGGCAACCAGTGCAAAAGTGAACAGCGACCACCCAGCGCATCCCTCCCAGCCTGTCTAGCGACAGGCTTTCCTCTGGGAGCCCCACTCCAGGGAGCCCAAGCCAGGCCAGTCTGGCTGCCTGCTATCAACAAAAGAGAATTTTGATGAGTTCACGTCACGAAAAGGAGCGGCCACGCCCTCTGGTTCTCTCTTCCAGGGAGACCTGTGCCCTCCTCCAGGCACCCAGTGGCTCCCCCGTGCAGGCTGGCAGACGGAGGGAGGCCTGGGTCCTGCACTTCAGGAGATGCAGGCAAACAAGGGCCCCATCCTTACCAGCTGGGTCCCTGGGAGGAGGGGCAGCTGGGTGTGGGGTGGCCCAGGCAGGAACTCTGAGCAGCTGACCAGCAGCTCCCTCTTCTGCTGTGCCCGCTGGAGGCGCTCACTGCGCTGGGCCCTCCTCGGAAAGGGGCACATGAACGCCCCTTCTGTCGGGTTCTGTGGAGTCCAGACACCCAGCACTCCACTTGCCTGCAGAGCTCCAGGACCCCTCCCGTCCCCTCCCCTCCTCTCTCCCTTCCTCCTCTCTGCCCTCCTACCCCAGCCTCATAGTGTGACCTTGGGACAGCTAGGGCAGGACAGAGGACATCAGGGACCCAGCCCACACTGCAAGAGACTCCTTTCCCCTCAGCTCACTCCCTCCTCCCTCCCTCTCTCCCTCCCTGCCCCCAGCGGGTGCCCTGGGTCCCCACTTCCTCCAGGCACTGGCTGTGTCCAAGCTCCTCTGAGGGGCGGCGGACCTGCTCTATCACAGGCAGGCTTCACGACCGAGGAAATCCCCTCACCGACACCGGCTCTGTCCTTGGGGCCCAGACAAGTCGAGAAAAGAGAAGACAGAGGCCAGGAGAGGGACAGGTGCAGGTGCCTCCACACGCAGGGGCCCCGGGCAGGAGGGCCAGGCAGTCAGGACACCTCCCCCAAGGGTCTGCCGTCTGCCCTAACACCGCCCTGGCCACATCCTTGTCTGTCCTACTTCCCTGGGTGCCATCCCTGCCCAAGACCACCCCACACATGCACGCAAACACGGCTCCCCAGATGCTCTCTGCTCCCACTCTGCCCAGCTGTCTTCGCCAAGGCTGGCTCTGGACCCCTGGCTCTGGACCAGCAGGGAAGCCCCAGCCAGATGGTCAGCTGGCCATAGAGGTACCCACAGCCCCATTCCTGGAGCACTTGCCCCTCCCTGCTCACCTCTGAGCTCCATGGCTTCTCCGAGGACCCACAGGCCAGGTGCCTGGCGGCAGAGGCTGGAGATGGGAGAGAGAGGTGAGCTAGGCAGAAGCTAAGCACAGCTCAGACCTCAGACTCAGAGCCAGATCCACCTCAGGAACAATGCCTGGCCTCTGCCTGGGCCCAACCTTACCCTTCCTTTCTGGGGGGGAGGAGTCTCAGACAGTTTCTGATTTGCCTACATCTGGCAAGGCAGGAAGCTAGCTCAATCCCAGGACAGAAACCAGACTTTTCAGCGAGGTGTCTGAGGCCAGCCATCCCAGCTGGCCCCGGGGGCAGCGTTTTAGCCACATGTCAGATCATGGAGGGGCCAGCTGGCTTCCCCCTGCTCTCAGGACCAAGCCCTGCCCCAGTTATGGCCTCAGGCCCTGGGGGATGTGGCCCCTGCCCACCTCTCCAGCTGAGGCTGGCTCCCCCCCCAACCCCCTGCCCACCTCTCCTCGTTTCTCTCTCCAACCTGGGGAGCTGCTGCTCTCACACCACCTGGCACATTGGCCCAGGGACACAACGGCCCAGAGGCCACCAACTCTTTCCAGGGCTTATCTTTTCTCTAGAGGAAAGTTCCTGGTCCCAGAGATTTCTGACACGCTGGGATAAAGATGAGATTAAATGAGGGCCTCAGTAGAGGATGCTTCTGAGAGGGTGCCACCTATGTCTTCAGGGGAGGCCCATCTGGGGTGCAAGCATGTCCAGGGATGACACATGGCACACCCCAGAGGGAGGGACAGGCAGAGGACATCCCCCTCTCTGCCCTTCTCCTCCAGCACACGCTTCCTCTGCAGGCTCTCACCTGGCGGGGGAGACGGATGAGGGAACCAGACCCAGCAGGGAGGAGCCCGAGGCCCCGACCAATGGCTCATGGTCACCCCCAATCTGGAGACCCCCTTCTCCTCTCTAGTCTCCACCCCTCCGATCCCAACCCGCCTGCATCCACTGCTCGGTGCCAGCGCCGGGGCATGGAAGAGGGGGTCCTTCCATGCATCATCCCAAGGGTGTGCCCTACCTGTGTCAAGTGGGGAGGGGACAGAGCTGGCTCCACAGAGGCCCCTGTCAGGGTCGTATGGCAGCAGGAGAAGCTGAAAAGTCAACTGTCGCCCCTACCTCACACCATATACAAGAAACTCAAAATGGGTCACTCACCTAAACGTAAGAGCTTAAACTATAAAACTCTTAGAGAAAAAACACAGGGGTCTCTGGACCTTGGATTTAGTGATGGAGTCTTAGATATGACCCCCAAAGCACAACCAAGAAAAGGAAAAAAGATGAACCGAACTTCACCTAAATCTTAAACTTTTGTGCATCGAAAGTCAAAAGCATCAAGAGCATGAAAAGACAACCTACAGAAGGGGAGAAAACATTTGCAAATCATAGATCTGATTAGGGCCTAGTATCCTGAAGATATAAAGAATTCTTACAACTCAATAAAAGACGCCCAATTTAAAAGTGGACAAAGGACTTGAATAGACAGTTTTTCCAAAAAAGAAATACAGATAGTCAACAAGCACATGAAAAGATGCTCAACACCATTAGTCACCAAGGATCTACAAATCAAAGTCACGATGAGATACCACTTCACACTCACTAGAACGGCTATACCCAAAAAAAAAGGAAAATAACAAGCGTTGGTGAGGATGTGGAGAAACTGGAACCCCATAACTTGTTGGTGGGAATGTAAAATGGTGCAGCTGCTGTGGAAAACAGTTAGGCAGGTCCTCAAAAATGTAAACACAGAATTGCCATACGAGCCAGCAATTCCCCCTCTAGGTCTGTACCCCAAGGAATTGAAAATAGGTCCCCAAACAAACACTGTAGCCGCATGTTCAGACCAGCCCTATTCACAACAGCCAAAGGGGGAAACGGCCCCCGTGCCCATCAATGCACGAACGGATAAAAAGTGTGGTCCATCCACAAGACGGAATGTTATTCAGCCGTAAAGAGGAACGAAGCAGCGACACACGCTGCAACATGGACGGATCAAAAACATTATGCTCAGCGAAAGCAATCAGACACAAAGGCCAATATCATATAATTCTACTTATACAAAATATCCAGAACAGGGAAATCCGTAGAGATGAGCAGATTGGTGGTTGCTGGGGCTGGGGGAGGAGGGAATGCAGAATGACTGTTTAATCCGTACTGGATTTTCTTGTGGGTGATGAAAATGCCCTGGAGCAAGATCACAGTGACGGCTGCACAACAGTGTGAATGCACTCGATGCCACTGAATTGCACACTTTAAAATTATTGATTTTATGTTATGTGAATTTCAGCTTAATAAATTTTTAAAAATCAACTGTGTTGTATTTTCTACCACAGGCTCGTGATGAACACATAAAAGACATTTTCTTTTCCGCATCATCCCACCAACCAGGTCTCCCAGTTCCTGAGGTCAGGTGCTCCTTTCACCTTTGCTGTGAAATCCCTTTGAACACTTCGATGGGCCTAGGGGTGAGGCAGAGGGCGGGTCCCCACTTGCATGCCCAGCCTGAGATGGCTGGACACTGGTGGGCATACCTGCATGAGTACCTGTCAGGGCTGGACGCTGAGACTGAGGCCTGGGGGACAGAAGGGAGGGCCCCTGCAGCCCCACCCTGAGGTCAGGGCCAGGGACCACCAAGTGGCACCATGTGGCTGAAGGAACAATGGTGGTGATGTGGCCAGGAGAGGAAGGAAAGGAGCCCCTCAACAGGTAAACCTCTAATTAGGGCAAGGTTTCAATGCCAGACACACAGCAGGGCAGGGCCAGATCCAACACGAATTGAGGAAGAACAGGTGTGACATTGCCCACACCCAGCTGGCAAGGAGCCCATCCAGTCCCATGACAACCACGGTACAGCTCAGGTTTGTTCCTCAAAACTGTCTTCCTCTCTGCCTTTTGGAGAAACCCCTCCCATCTTCTCTCTGCCTCTGCCCCCCGCCTGCAGGGCCCCCTTCCCATGTCGCTCTGGAGCTGTCCTCCCCCACCCAGACATTTGTCAACGTGGACCCAGGACTTTGACCCCGGCTTTATGCCCAATTCTTGTCACCCAAGCCCATTTCCGTCTCAAATAAAACAGGACTCGCGCCTTCCTCCTCCAACCCCTCCACCCAGTTCACCTTTGCCAGGTCACCGTTGACATGAAATCCCTTTAAAGATGCATGGCCCTCAGATAGAGTGCAAACTCCCCGTGCCACCTCCCCTGCAAGGCCCACTGGCCCCCTTTCTCTCACCTGCTGCTGTGGGTCCCACCAAAGCAAACTCCACGAGACCCCCAGAGCGCATTCATCTCTCTCCCTCCCCACACTTGCCTCGGCACCCCTCTCCTGTCACGATGGCTACCTCCAACTTCTTTCCCAGGCCTCTCCCTCGTGCAGTGCTCCTCCGGGCATCTGCCCCGACGCCCCAAGCCTGTGTCGGGAGCCGGGCCTCAGTTCCCCCATAGGGCGCTGGGCACTGGCCCACAGCAGCGACAACCGCAGCACTGAATGGAGCTCCATGCCCCCTCTACAATGTGAGAACAGGGATGAGACATTTTGACACGTGTCCCCAACAGCCAGTACAGGACCTGGTACACAAACATTCATTCACTCCACCACCATTTGTCGGCGGCGTGCCGCGTGGCAGGCTCTGCTCCAGGCGCTGGGGACACAGAGGAGGAAGGTAGACAAGGGCCCTCCTCACAGCATGTGCTCCCCAGAGCCCCTGCTGGCCCAGAACAGGGCTACCTCACCCCCTGGCCCCTATCTTGTCCTCTCCTGCCCTCTGTCTCCAACACAGTGTTCTCAATTCACTCCCCCGCCACCACCATTACTTAGACGCCCCAGCCTAGCTGTCCACATTCTCTGTCCCCACCCTGAGGAGCACTGCCGGGGAGAATCACCCAACTGGGTTGCTCGCCTCCTGCACCAACGTGGGGGTCCACCCTCAAGGCTTGGTCACAGCCCTCACTTGTCCCTGCTCGCCTTCCCCCAGTTCCCTTCGTCTTTGCCCCTCACTTAGGCCCCACTGTTTGTGCCCAATGGATGACATCCCCTTCTGGTGCTCAAAGGGCGCCCTGGGGACTCCCCTCAACTTCCGGCCATGTCACCTCCACAGGCACCCCAACCGTCCACAGCTCCAGCCACCAGAGTAGATGCTCCCCACACCAGGCTCTAGGGCGTCCCCTCCCTCTGCTCCTGCTGCACCGGCACAGCCTCGCTCCCTCTCCTCACCCAGCTTGCCACGTCCAACGCTCTTGTGCTCCTAGTACGTCCGTAGTCCCTCGCTGCACCCATTTATTTATTTGACCTTTTTAATGTAGGAAATACTCGTCCGTAGCTTAAAAAGTCAATGAGACCAACAAGAGTGAAGTCGGCTCCTGCCCCACACCCTCTGGATCCCTGAGTCCCGCTCCCTAGGAACAACTTTCAGCTTTGTTCCTGATTATTTTAGACTTTGCATCGATATTGTAATAACTTGCATCTATATCATCTTTTCTCTTATGTCTTTTGAATAGGTAATTACCGTACGGTCCAAAATTCCCAAGGGCGTACAGGGGAGTGTGTTGGTTTTCTTTGAGCTTTCTGTTTTAGACACCATCCACTGCCTTCCTCTACTAGTTAAGCATCACCTCTCTTCTCCTCTCTCTACATCTTCGGCCAATAGTCAGTATTTGCAGCATATGACAAGGAAACATTTTTCGCAGCTCAGACACATAGAGTACATTGCTTTCTAATACAACTGTACATTTCTTTTAAAGGGGTTGATAATTTTTTCATGTTTTATTCTCTATGCATTTATCACTAATTCATCCTGAAACTCACTGCCAAAAGTTTAAATTTCCTCTCAATCTGATCAAACCCACCAGTAACACTTTGTTTTCCTGGAGGCATGCTTCTGGAAACTTCTGTCTTCCTGCTCCAATCTGGGACTCTTGGCTCACCACCATCCTTGGAACCCCTGTTGCCCCTCTCCTGTGCTGGATCTGATTTCCTAGATCCCAGACAGAGCCGACCTTTGTTGTTACTTTTGGCCCCCAACAGCTAACCCCCTTCCTATGTTTAAAGAATTCCTCCCCTAATACGGCAGGCTCTGCCTTCAACTATAAA